ATCACCCGGACTCTCCATCCGAGGTCGAGGTTGATCAAACGGCTTTGAAATTGAGCAAACTGGAGAAGCTTTTCAAAAAATCCCAAGGGGCTAACATTGCTTATTTGTGGTTTAGTATATCTTTTCTGGGCTGTGGCTCACCCTTTATGGGAACATCATTTTCAGGTTCAGGTGAAAAGCTACCTCCAAGGACTTAGCTTGGAAGGACTTGGACTTTGAAGACTGTTTCTAGTTATTTGTTTTATTTTATTGTTAGTACATGTAAACACTCAAGCCTAGGGCTTTATTTATATTTGAGTTAGAACTCATACTTTTGTGTCCAAGTGTTGGCTTGGAAAGATGTAAACCGTTAGGACATTTAATTTGATGTTACATGTAATGTTTTTGTTCAGTACGACTCTGGTAAATATTATAATGAATTATTGAAATGTTTTCTTTAAATAATGCATGTCATTGATATATATATAATGGGTTATTTTTTTGAGGGCGTCACAATCTTTGTACTCCTTTCTATAGAGTATGCAATCATATGGACATGCATGTATTTTCTCATATCCCATTCCCAATGCAGCAAACGTCTTTCCAGCCTTATACATGGATGATGGTATTTCATTGTTCAGTGGCAGCTTATCACCCAACAACGTCAGTAGGTCTGAAAACCCAGTGTGAGATAGGCTATTCGTAGTTTTGAAGTTATACAGTTTAACCAATGCAGATAACTTGGTAAACTTTGTGCAACCCGGATACATTGGTTTTTCGGCATCTTCAAGTAATTTCTTAAACACTTCAGGATCAGCCGTGCAATGATCGTATGCTTCTTGAACCATTTCTATTGTTTCAGCTACATTGTTTGTGCGAGACGGGTCAAATTGTTGTTGGGAAAAATCTTGTTCATTTAAACATGGTGATGTCCCACTAGTGACTGCTTCTCCATGCCATATCCATGTGGTACAACTTTGGTCAACACCATTGAAAAAGAGATGATTTCTAATCTCTCGAATAGGTTGGCTTCTCAAGTTTCCACAGACTCTACAAGGACAACGTATGGATTGAAGATCACTTGCACGGATCATAGCAAAATTAAGAAATTGTTCAACTCGATTCTCATAGCCTTTTGATCTTCTATCCTTGAACATCCAAGATTTGTCCATTTTAAATGTATTTTTGAATTCCTATACCAACAAAGAAATTAGAATATAAAATAATAAACTAGAGGCTACACAGTTGATAACATCAAAGGAATGTCATTGAGAAGGCACAATTTCTTTGATAGAACATTAAATGCCTCAAGCAAACTTGCAACAAATAAATAAATAAATAAAATACAAGATCTTATAACAAATAATTTATCTTCGGGTTTTATACAAGCACAAGATTATTGTTTTTGGTGGTTTCTATGACACTCTCAGAGAAGTGAGGTTGTTGTTTCGGTCCTTATCAAACAATTTTAGGATTTCATTATTATGAACTCTTTTTCCTTTGTTAATTGTGTATGGGTTGTTGAATATTGCATGTTCTGTCCTAAACATATACAAGGGGTTTAATCCCATTATTTATTTTGGGTACTTTTGTGTGGTATAATTTTATGTTTTCTTTTTTCAAAATTTATATATATTTTACCTTGAAGTGGTTCTGGCTTGTACTTGTTTAAGGTCTTGATGATTGCATGAGATATGTTTTTACTTAAACAAGTACATTCAAATGTTGAGCTAGAAAGTTTGCCAATTCCAAATCAGTGCTAGTTTATTTTTGTTGAGCAAGATACTAATTCTTGACATTTTAGAGGGTTCAACAAGTTGGATTAACACATTCTTGGACAATGATTCAGGATTGAGCAGGGTAAGATATCTACTGAGCCCATCTTCAAATCAAAAACTTTGTCTAGGGAGATGGTCTCAACTCCATTATGGAGTTGATTAGATGATACATATCAGAAATAGTAGTCACTAAATATAGGTGTTTTGAGGAAGGAGACTTCCTCTCCACTTTCTTATTCTTTCAAATAAGTTCTCTACTACTTATTTCAGGAAAGACATTAAGTACTTAATTAAAAACAAATGATTCTTTTTTCTTTTTTTTCATGTAAAAAAATTGATTATTTGTGACCCATAATGCTTAAATAAACTAAAGATTGAAACTGCACATATGAAATTGATAATCTTGCTGGTTTGATTGTACACAGGAAAATTTACATGATTTCAATAGTTTTGCATTAGAATTTTCTGTAGCTCAATGAGGCCTGAATAATGAAAATTGAACCAGATCTGAACCTTGTTTATAGTGGTTCATTTACTTTTCATGGAATCAAATAATTCAACTCTAGTCTAGATCCAAACCTTGTTTATGGTGGTTTATTTACTTGTCATGGAATCAAATAGTTAAACTCTATTGGTGTGATTGTATTTAGATTTTTGGTTTGCTGCAACATGTAATATTTGAAGGTTTCCATGTGCAGGTATTTCAATGATTTGCATGTCTTTGACGTGGATCAGTTTAAGGTGAACAGATTGGTCCCTCCCTATTCTATAAGTCTAAAATTATGAAGTTGATAGTGTAGGGTTCATACTAATCTACTAAAATTAATGCAATAATTGCAAAGTCAAAAAAAAGAAAAAATAATAATTCCACAAAGTCCAAACAATTCCAAAATAATTCCATAAAGTCTAAACAATGGTGGGATAGGGTGAATCTCAAGATGAAGGAGAGAAAATTTTGGAATACGGTGCCACTAGTGATGCTGTTCAGCTCATGATTTTGTGATCAATTTGAATCAGGTGCTGCAGCTGCTGAGGTGAAGGGTGCTGCAACTGGTGTGGTTTGTTTACTGGATGTAACTGCTGAGGTTAGAAGGTGTCTGGGTTAGCAGCTGCAGCATTTTTCTGGAGAGCAGCAGCAGCAGTGTGTAAAAGTTGGGGTTGAGTTTTTACAATGCACAATGTATTAGGCTATGAGACATTATAGACCTTTAATAACAGGTCAAGGGAACTGGAGAAGAGAAACTAGTATATCAACAGGATACACTATGCATGAGCAACAGGACAAAATATGCATTATTGGGCAAAATATGCATGAGCAACAGGACAAACTAGTATATCAAGTAATGGGGGCAACATTAACTATGAACTACAAGTAAAAATGCCAACATCTTATTGACAGTCCAATTATTATTATTATTATTATTATTATTTTAAAGTTGAATCTGCTAGTAAGGCAAAACTACAGTGCAAAATGTTGAAATTTTTGGATTCTTACATTTGAAGAAATGCTCTCTTTCAAAGCCCTTTCAAATCTTTGATAAAGATGTGCTGAATAGTTAGAAGGATGATACTGAATATACATGAAATAAACACAGCTATACAGAGAGTGAAGGATGTACTTTCCATTGAAATCAAATGGCATCGAATATTCACATAGATTAACAGAAACAAGAGGGGGAAAATAAATATATATAATATAAAACAAAATAAAAAGTGCTAAGAACTAGATTCAATTCAATAAAAAATTCAAATTGGTTAGAGTGTTTTATTGTTGTTCCACTAAATCTTGTCAAGGTCAACTTGTTTTCTCTATTTGGGTTTCGTTAAGTTTCACCAACTTCATAATGCTCTTCTAATGCTCCTTTTATAACCATGTTTTGATCCTAATAATATATAAGTATTGTATTGTTCAATAACTATATACCAATTTTCTGTTAGATCAAAAATTATAATATTCTGGGTAGGGATTTAGCAAGATGAATAAAACAAGCTAATAGTGACGGACCCATTTGAATAGAGCATTAAGGCATTAATAAGATCAATCCTTTTTTTGATACAAGGATGGAAAATAGAAAGGAATGAAGGAGTTGAAAATGTAACTACAGGATAAGGACATAATATCTTCTTAGGCTGTTTTGTCAAGCCAGTTGCCATAAGAAAAGGAGAAGTACAAGTGTGTTGCTTGATTTTAGGACAAGAAGCAAGGGGGTTTACTTACCATTGTACCTTATAGTTCCCTTACTAGCTTTGAAGAAAATTACAATTTATAGCCACATCAGTTGGTGAGGTTTCACTGAAATTTTACAAAACTAAAATTGGAAATTTTAGTCTAGCTCCCTGCTTAAAGATTGGAATCAAAACCTTCAAAAGTCCCCTTCAAACTTCCATAAATTTAAAACCAAAATATATATATATATGACTAGTGAATTTAGGCACTCAACAGAACGGTGGATTTTAATTAGCTAAAAGATCCATAAAGCCTGCCTCTCCCCAGTCCACTGTTTTATATAGGAACTATAGTAGATTATGCAGAAACGAGCTGAAACAAAGATAGGAATTGCCAAAAAAACTTACCTTTCATGTATTATCTATTATCATAAGAACATAAAATTATATCTGGTTATCATCAGCAAATTATTGTATGATAGTTCATACCCTTGTTTTTTTTGCTTGTGGCATTTTGATTTTGTTTCCTAATGATAGTGCAAGTTTGGAATACATTTAGAACTTAGCCAATATGCTTACGTAATGTAACAATATTTTCGTTCCTGTTGAGTAATTCTAACTTCCATTAATTCTATTTGTATTAGTAGGTCCTTAGACTAAGAGCATCTTTAGTGCAGATGTTAAAATTGTTGTTTGAAGTGTACATCTAAGTGTAAGTGACATGAGAGAGATTTTAAAACTGAATAATTATAGCACGTTACTAGGGGGAGACTTTAAACAACTAATTCCCAAGAACTTTCAAAATAAGGCATAACCTACCAAATAAGCAACACCTTGACAGCAAATCCAAAATTCAAGACACATCTATAAATCTAAATCCATATCCATGTCAACCAAAACAAAATGCATATATATATTAGTAAATAAAAGAGCAAAGAGAAACAAATCTGGAGAGTAAATAAGAGAGCAAAGAGAAAGAGAAACTTATCAGTTACCAAAAAGAAAAAGAAAAAGAAAAAATCAGTAAGAATAACCCAATCATGTAGACTCCTCCATCCTCTGTTAAACTTATCAAATACATATCCATACATATGCACGATGAAGGGTACACACTGCATATATTATACTGAGAAATTCTGAAAATTAGTAAGAATTATTAACTATCACTAGTCACCTTTCTTTAATATTTTCATTGAAATGAGGTTCTGTGATCTTGTCTCAGCTCTCTGATATCATTTGTTTTACTGTTGAATGGCAGATTAAAAAGCTTGCGCTGATGATACAGAAGGTTAAGGACTTCTAAAATCTAAAACTAATTAATCACATTGTCTCTTACATCTTCAAAAACATCTCTTCTAGATTAATTATTATTTAACAGTTTTGAATTTCTTCTTCTGTACTTGCAGAGTAAGCACCTAGTAGTATTTACGGGTGCAAGAATATCAATATCTTGTGGGATACCTGATTTCCGAGGTCCTAAAGGAGTGTGGACACTTCAGGTGAAATCATGATTTCTATTATGGTTCTGTAATTTTTTGATCTGGAGAAGCCAATCTACAACCCTTGTCCTTGTCTTCTCTTTATCTCATTCTAGGATCATACATCTTATTGTGCATGTTATTTCTCACTTTATGGCTACAAGAGGATAAATACACAGACAGAGAAGAAAACTTTGCAAAATTTGTGATTCTACTACACCAACAGAAATACACACAAAAGGGGCATAAAAACCAGAGGACTCACCAGGAATTTCAAGAGATTTTTTATTTGAAAGACAAACTTCAATGGTGGTTTGAGTGAGTAACTTCAATTGTGGTTCGGAGCTATGATGAAGAAAATGAACGGCTTCGTTTCAGCAAGAAGAAGAGATTCAATCTTGTTGGGAAAGGCAATGGTGGTTCAGAGCTGAGATGAAGAAAATGAACGGTTTCGTTTCAGCAAGGAGAAGAGGTTCTGATGTTGGGAAAGTGAAGAGTCATTTGCTCTCAATGATGGTACAAAATAGGCGCCAACTTGGAATCAGATTTTATATAAAAAAGAAATAGAAATATTTTATTCAATCACACCTATGATTAAAATACATATATAATCACACTTATTTAAACAGTGTGATTAAATAAAATGAAATCGATACGATCACACCTATTTAGGGAGCGTGATTAAAAAACATATATAATCACACTGATTTAAAAAGTGTGATTAAAATATATATAATCACACTTATTTAA